TTTGGGCTGCTGTTAGCACGTTGAGGGCATGTCTATTTTGGAGCACAACAGCTGCTAAGGAAGTAATCTAGTCCGGGACTGTGTTTAGGGATTGGCTTATTTTTTCCATGTCTTCTGAGATTTATATTGACAATGCCTGATAGAAATGTGTAGAGGTAGAGATACCTGCTACATCCATCCCCATGCCAGTGAGGACTCCCACTTCCATCAGGAGGGTGGCTGCCCTCTTGCTGACCTTTGACCATGAGGGGATACTTTCAAACATCTGGCATTCTGTATAGATGGTCAAGGGAGGGATGAGAAACGCTATGCAAAAGAAAATTTCAGATCGGTTGAGGCATCAGAATGCCTCTTGGCTGCATATGAAGAACAGCCCGTTGGATAGGCAGACTGGGTGCTCTTCTGAGATAAAGAGGGAGCAAGCAAGGCAAGTGATGTTGTCATTTTGCCCCATGTGTGTCAGGTTAGTGGTTTGTGTAGGGAATGGGAGACCTATAGTGAAGGGTCCCAGAAATGAGGATAAATTGCCAATTTTTGAGACAGGTTAAAATCTAGGGGGATGGGAATTAGAGTAAAAGAGCAGGGATAAACAGACATACACATCCAATAGTCTGAGATACTGACAGGGAGATAGTGGAGGGTGTTAGTAAATAACTGTGGTAGCCTTTTTTGAGACTGGGTTATCTGGTTTACCACTTGGAGATCTAGCCCTTTACAGGGAGGTGGAGCCCTCAAAAGTCTATCGCTAGTGCCTGTTCACTGATTGCCTCTTTTGTTTATTTTTTTCTGCTGGGTGTTTAAGACCAAGTTAAAGTAAGACCCGTGTTAATCAATATGAACATCTTGCTATCCGTCAAGGTCAGTTAGGTCTCTTTAGGCAGTGTTTTCGGAACCATGCATAGATTGTCTCAGCTCCTGTCAGTGTCAGCCTTAAGGATGATGGGTCATGGGCCTTGCTTGACCAAGTTGCTTTCAGTGAAAGCGTAGAAGACTTTTTCTCTTAGTGACTCTACTTTTAGCACACGTTACATTTGTCCTCTGGTGTCCAGCAATCTCCCTGCTCAGGAGGTTGGGTGACTAACCAAAGATGTAAGGTGTTGTAGAATAGGTTCCTTCACACCTTGGATCTTTGATGACCCTGGAGGGCCAGGGCCAAAATATTGGCAGTCTTCTTAGAGTTACCTTTGAGTGTTGGTCTCTTCACTTTGGTGATTGAACATCCAAAAGAGAAGATCAGTGACATCAGTAGTACCTTAGGAGCAGTGAGCTTAACTCTCATAACTTTATCTGGATAGCAAGTACCCTGGAATCTAAAATATAGTTAGAAGGGCTGGGGATTTAGCTCAAAGGTTCTGTCTGCCTTGCAAGTGCAAGATCCCAAGTTCGGTCCCCCGTACCCCAAAATACAATAAAATATAGTGAGAGGACTGTTATTTTCCTCAATCATGGTTTTTCTAGTAGTTGATTTCCTGTAGAATATTAACAGAAAAAACTTTGAATCGGGAGTCATACAAAATAATATTTCAGCAAGACAATCATGATGAGATTATCTTTGCAACAAAATCTCAGTTTAAAATAGCCATTGTTAAATGTATTTATTCCCCTCTAAAAACACACTCAAAAAAGGAAACGTATTTAAGTTATTATCTTTTGACCGGATGCCATCTAAGGAAAGGGTATGGACCTACAAATGTACCCAAAATCATGAGCAGGTGGAGCAGAACAAAAGGGCAAATACCTGGATCAAAAGGTTACTGTCATAAACAATATGTTGGAAGACCTGTATAGTCAGAAAACATGAATGTATTTTGTATACGAGAAAGGTAGTAACAATAATTATTATAATTATATGAAGCCTTATGTCCTATGGTGTAGCCTGGTACCAAAAGGATCTTTTTAATAACTCCTTCTTTTTCCACAGAAAATATATTTTGAAGATGACCATTATAAACATATCACAATATCATATTTAGAACTCAACCCTCTGATGATAACCAATGTAAACATTTTATAAAAACATATATAGCGATATTTATTGGGGGTATATCTTCCCATAAGGCTATGAAAATATTGGGGCCCCCACTAGTGAACAAAGACCAGAATAAATTTTTCTGAGCAGCAGTTATTATTCACCAAGAGGAGACTATCCAAACCTAAAAGTTTATATTTAATTATCTTGATAATTTTTTTATTTAACCTGTAAAACCAGGATGTGGAAATTAACAATGTATTTGTATCTTTGATGTCATTTTGATCAAAAACTATAACAACACTTTCAAACAATTGGACAGACACAGACAAACATAAAAGACAATTTATGAAAGTGCACTCACATATATTTGGCCAATTGAATTATAACATCTCTTTTAATTAAGACTAGTCAAAACTTTTGCAGGTCAATTAACAGAGATCTCTCATAGAATTAGAATCAGAAGAAATGAAAGCTTTTTATGACTGTAAATGCACTCTTTTTATAATAAACCTGAAACCAACAAGCAAACATATATATTTCTTTGACAAATAACTCCCGCATATCTTCTCGACATACCTAAGCCTTCTGGTCTTGTGTATTTCTCTTTAGACTTCTAACAAGACATACAAAATCCTTTTATATCAAAAACATATTTTTCTACCTCATTTACTATAAACCTTTCATAACCAACTTGGCTTCAGTTGTTAAAATTTTAAAGTGTTCACTTTTTTATTTCCTCGGTGTTATACTTTAAAATCTGATGGATGACAATAAAGTATTTGTAACCTTGAGGTTTTCTTTAATCAAGAAAATACAGTTAGACTAAGTTAACCCTATAATTACAATGTAAGAATTTGTAATGTACAAGAAATGTTTTAAGCAGTACTGATTAAAAACTATTTTAAGTTGGAGATGAAAAGTACATTTGTTAATTAGCCAGAGGAGGGAACAATAACAAAGCTCTTGCCTCAAGGTGGATATAGGGTCAAGAACAGAGATTACTTATGGTGTCCAGTGACATCTGAGATACAACAACAGTCTATTATGTCCTGTAGCCCTGGAGTTTTATTTCTGCCATAAATGAAACATAGAAAAATGTGTAACCTTGAGATACAGAGACCCACTTACTTTGTAGGTGAAACCAAAAAACAAAAAAAACTTGTAATGTTTTAGAGACAAATTAACGCCCAGTTGGCTTGCAGATACAGAATGAAGACAACAACCCACTGTAAGGTAAATTTTCTGTACAAATAGGCAAACTTGAATACCAAAACTAGAGGAAACTCACACCCACTTTACAATAATTTTAAGCAATTAAGTCCAAACATAACATATACAATACTAAAATGGCATTTTACCAAAAGGACCCTCATATGCAGAGCAACCTTATAAAAAGTGCCCTGCTGGATCAAAAGTAGTCACTTTGGAGTCTGGGCTGAGGTGGGAGGGGGAGGGAGTCTCTTGCTTGGGCAAGGAGAATGAGGGGGGCATGGAACAAGAGGGGTGGACCACGGAGTTACGGTTAGAAGCACCTGAGAGGTTTGAAATAGGGAGGGATGAAAGGGTAGGTAGGGGACTTCTGACCATTTGCTTTTTTTTTTTTTACAAAAATTGTGGAAATTGGGTAGTATGTTAAAAGTGAAAGTGCCATTTTCGGGCCATTGAGATTATCTAATTTGTACTGAGGTCAAACTTGGTTGCAATAAAAAATGAATCATTGTTGCTTAAAGATAGGTCCCAACAATCCAAGGGAATAAAGTTGTACCGAGAGGCAGCCAAGAGGCATTGAGGGAGGGGGTTTGGATTGTTGGGTGCCCAGGTTAGGGTGGGTGAGGAGGAGCTAGCTCCCTAGGAGGAGGGGAAAAGAGAGGAACATCTTTGTCTCTTCTGATACTCCCCAAGCCAGTCCCCGGAAGAGGAGGAGAGGAGTCAGGCCTATGGGGCATCCCCAGGGCACGGTCCTGGGCCCAGTGGCCCGAGAGGGTCTCTCTGACCAAGAGCTTGGAATTCCGAGTAGTCCCTGGAGGGAGAGAATGAGAGTGAGACAGAGGACCCACTGCCTACTCACCCTGTAATCAGTGACCTGTGTGGATGTGAGTCGTCAGCAATGGCAAAGATAGAAAGCCCTGAGGAGATCCTGGGATGGCAGATGTGGTCCGGAGGAGGCGGGTCAATCGACCCTGGCCCATGGGGGATTGTCACAGTGAACCACTGTCCTCCTGGGTGTGAGCACCAGATATGTCAGGTAAAAAGAGCCAAAAACCAGGACCAGACCAAGAGCACAAGAAGCCTTTATTATGGGGAGGATCTGCTGGGTTGTTTCTGAAGGAGAGAGGGAGATGGGGGAGGGAAGGAGGGGGGTAGAGAGAGAAAGGGAGATCACACTAGTACTCAAATTACAGGCTGTAAAATCCTGTGCTGCATACTTGCCAAGAGGGTTTGAGTGATGTAGTGGCTAGAGATTAGAGGAGCTTCTGACATCACTAGGAGGGCTTGTGTCATCACAAGTCACCAGGAGGATGCGAGTATCAGGTTACTCTCACAGGGGGAAAAGAGGCTTAATGGGAAGAAGAAGGCTGTCCTTTACTGGGAGAAGCCATATTTTTAGGTGAGAAGCAGGGCATTATGGGAAGGGGAAGGCTATTCTTTTTATGTAGCAGTCATCTTAAGTCACGGGAAATCTAACAACATCCAGATCACAGAATACTACACAGGAAAAATGACCAAGTTTCTTCAACAAATAAATGGCAAGAAAAGATAAGACAAGGAAGGGAAAACCTAGAGAATTATTTTTAAAAAGTCTTAAGAGATATATAAGCCAAATGGAATATGTGGAACTTCTGTATCGTTATTAAATGACAATTTGGATCCAATTATTAAAAGACACTTATAAGACAAACAGGAAAATCTGAATATTAAGATTTGATGATAAGAAACTATTACTTATATATGGTAATAGTACTATGGCTTGGGAGGAAAAGAATCTGAATGTTTTAGAGATACATACTGAGTTCCTTAAAGGTGAGGAGTGCTCACTTTGGTAGCATAGAAGCTAAAAACTGGAACATTACAAAGATGATAAGTATAGTCCTGATCTGCAGATGGATGACATGCAAATTCATGAAGCACGCCATATTTTCAGGAAGACTAAACTGAAGAGGTCTACTGTACACTTGATGGCTACAGTTAATAATGCACTCATTGTATACATGAAAGTCATTAAGAATGCAGAGCGTCAGGGTCCTTACCACAAAAAATAAGTATGTGATTCAGCCATTCTACAATGTATATTTATTTCAAAACCCAGGATGTAAATATATAAATTTGTGTTAATCAAAAAGCAATGTCTTGAAAAGTAATGTTGAACAATGTGTCTTAGATTTGCTTTAAAACTCCAGAAGATGGGAGGTGAAAGTTTGTAGATGAAACAAAGTTAGGCACATGACAAGTACCGAAGATGAATGATGGGTATACAAAGGCTCATTATATTAGTCTATTTATAGTCATGTTTTAAATTTTTCATAATAAAAAGGTTTTAAAGTGGGATATACCTAAATTTTTTTTTCTTCAGTCTAGGTAAATACCAATTCATTATTAGCTACTTGCTATTACATTCATTCAAGCAGAGCTTTGCAAATTATGGCTGCCCTAGAAAGCTGCTTTCATTTGCCTACAATAAGCATCTGTCTAGAACAGGTTAGAACAAGCTCTTAGAGGTGAAAATGTGTCCTATCATCACATGTTTACAAACCGCCAAGACTAGAAAAAGGCTGTGCTTCTCCAACTGTGAGTCTCAGGGCCCCAAAGTGGTATCACTGGGACTGAGGACAGGACAAGGAGAAGAGCCCATGGGACTCTGAGCCTCTGCCACTGTTTTCAAAAGAGCAACTCCATTTGCCTTCTAAACTCAAGTGCAGTATGAAGAGGTGAAGGTTCAATGGAAAGGTGATACAGTTCTCCTAGTATAATTCATGGCAATAACCTTGGCAGCTCAACCTGGGAATAAGAAAGCATTAAGAGCTCAGGCTTTTCCGGCCTTCTGCATTTTCCTAATGAATCATATAGCTTGTCGGCCCTAGAAAAGGTTTTTAAATGGGAACCCTCTTTGCTCGGATGACTAGCCCCAGCTGTCAAGCTGTCATTCCTTATTTCTAAGAGGTCTCCAAATGTGCTTTTGCAGGAATAGATGGATGTCCCGTAATCTGAGTGGCTGGCTGATTTCTAGTCCCCCACTTCTGCCACCCATTTTGCCAGTCTATTCCAAGTGTCCAATGTGCACTGGTCTCAGTCTCCTGCAGGTTCCTGACAGGAAATAGTTGACCCTCCCCTGCAGTAGAGCAATGCCTTTACCCAACCTGCATGCCTCTGAAAGGATCCAGCATCTTTCTCTGCTCCTCTCCTGGAGTTCCTCACTGTCTACTCCTTGGTGATCCTCCCTCTTCTGCTGCTGAGACAGGCATGTGTCCAGCTTGTCACAGGCAGGCCCCACTACCCAGCCACTTGATTTTCTAGCAGTGACTCCTCCTTTTCATTGCAACCCTCTACTTTGCAAGGGAAGTATGTACCCTGGGCGAGGAGTGTGCAGCACGAAGACAGCACAGATAGGGGGGCTCTGGAACCACTGCTTCCGCCAGCCCACAAGCCCTTCCAAGGATCAAGCTAATTCTGACCAAGGCTCTTGCTATCTTCCTCAAGACTCCTGAGTACCCTGAAAGTCAGAGATGTAGCTTACGTGCCCCTGGTCACTACATAACAAGAAGGAGTTGTCCGTACCCGCCCAGAGCAGCAGAGGAGCACTGGGTGAGGTGACTTGTTCTCAAGTTCCTGACCTACCAAGTGTGAATCCAAATCATCTGTTGCACGTGCTCAGGGAGAGTTCAAAGGCAAATTGGGTTTATTCCAGTGATTAAATATATTCAGTGCTGGATAATTTGTATTTGTCACTGACAACAGCTTCTCAATATATTCTTACTCTTAGCTTCTATTTTCAGTCTGTTCACTTGACTTCAACTTATCAGTGTATTTCTCCTATGAATTCTTCATACACGGAAGACAACAGTTGTTATGATCCTCTCCTTCTGGCTACCTAATAGTTCATATCTAGGGCAGTCACAAATGCTGAGTAAAGCTAAGCAGTCATCTGGAGCCCCAATCTATTTCAGTATAACAAAACCTTGGAGATTCTCAGCCACATTTACTACTGATGGCTTTACTCAAGTTAATATATCAAGTGCAAGTAAGTTAATTAGAATCAGATGAAAAAACTGATGTAGCTGTTGTAAAATATTTTCCTATCTCAAAATTATGAGGATATTTTATATACTTTGCTTTCTTCTGAAACTGTTCAAACGTTGCCCTTTTACATCTAAGTGTTTGGTGTTTTTTTTTTTTTTTTTTTTTTTGGTACCGGGGATTGAACTCAGGTCCTTGCGCTTGCAAGGCAGGCCACCGAACCGCTGACCTAAATCCTTGGCTACATCTAAGTGTTTGATTCACCTATACAGTTGTCCCTTGGTATCTGCAGGGAACTGGTTCTAGGAATCCCCTCGGATACCAAAATCTGCAGATTCTTGGGCCCCTTGTATAAAATGGTATAGTATTTGTCACATGTGGTTACACATGTCCTCCCATATATTTTACATCGTCTCTAGATTACTTATAGTACCTAATACAATGCAAACGTCATGCAAAGAGTTGTTATAAAGTATTATGGAATAATGACAAAAAGACAAAGACCTGTCTATGTTTGTTTTTTCCCCCCACCAATTACTTTAAATGACTAGCTGGAATCCATAGGTATAAAACCAGCAGATATGGAGGGGGTCACTGAACATGAAACAGGGGTCTATTTCCTCTTCCTGCCTCATATTAAATGATTTTCTACGCATCCTTTACCAAGCCATGTGTTCTTTCCCTCAGTGATCTGTTGCACTAGCTCCATCACATGTACTAGGCTTCCTTACACATGTGAGTCTTTGGGACTTTTTTCCTCCCTTCTGTTCTCAGGTCAAACTATCTCCAGAAAAATTCTGAAATATTTATCATCAACTTTGATGTTTGGTAGCGCAAACATTTTTTTTTTTTAAAACTGATCTGGCTTTTGAGCAGTGTTTTGTCTCTTCAAAGCCCTTTGTACTTATTACAAATTTTATAATCTACTTACTACCACCTTACATGGAAAATGGCAATATGGTTTTAATTAAAATTATACTGAAATCTACAGATCAATAAGAATGTTTTTATGTATTTTGCTTTGCAGTGAGTTTTACTAGACTTTTTCCGGAATTTTTTTTTTTTTTTTTTTTTTTTGGCTAAGATCTATTTCTAGTCATGTAGCTTTTTAATAGTTGATCTAAATATCTCTTTTCTCCCAATTTTAACTGCAGTTTCTACTGATAATACATAGAAATGTAGTCTTGTGTACAGCAACCTTGCCAACAAATACAAGTAACTCTAATAATTTTTCTATGAACATTACAGGTTTTCTATGTAAACAACTGTGCCATCTGTGGATAAAATATTCTATTTCTAGGTTTTGTTATGTGTTATGACTCTGGCTGTGGGCTCTAAGTAATAATGAATAGACAAGACTAGATATCCTGTTTTATTTTTTTATCTTAAATGGTACATACCAGGTATACAACACAGTTACATTCATCATTGGGATCTTGCACCACCTATACATGACCTATCAGGATTTTATTTTTCCCCATTCCCCAGCCCTCTCCTCAGCTCCTCCACCCTTCCCTATTTACAAAGATATTGTTTCCATGTTTTTCCTTTTCACGGATTTTTTCTTTTCCCTTTTTACCTTTCCCCTACCCCTCCCACTTCCTCTACATATTTAGACTTTTCTTCCTGTTACACAATATTATTTATATATTTTAATCCTTATTTACAATTTTACTTTTTCACACTACAGAAATTATTTGGTATTTACACATGTTTAACTTATTAATTTCACTTAAGAGTATGGCCTCAATGTGCATCCACTTAGCTATAAATCTCTCTAGTTTCTTATTCTTTGTGGCTGAGTAGTATTCCATTTTATTAAAAAACCAATCTTCTTTATCCAGTCTCCAGTAATGGGCAGTTTCCAAGTTTCAGGTATTACAAACTGTGCCACTATAAACATGGGTGAACATATATCACTGTGGTATGATTCTTTTAATTCTTTTGGGATGTTAACAAGCAGAGGAATAGCTGAGTCAAATGGGACTTCTAATCCTAGTTGTTTGAGGTATCTCCATATTGATTTCCACAGTGGTTGCACCAGTCTGTACTCCCACCAACAAGGATACTGATTTTTTTAAATGATATTAATTTTATTGCATTATTTTTACTGACTAGAACACCAGATTGAGCGAATATAAATATAAAAAACAAATTCTTACAAATAATACTTTGCTGCTACAGTACTGAATAATCAATATTGTTTTACAAAACCATTTCAATATGTCTTTACCAAGCAATTTGTGTGCTGTAATTTTTAACCAGATTAAAAAGGTTCTATTTGTGATTTGCTAATAAATCTATTCATCATGAATGACTAATTTTTATTAGGAATATAGTTTTCTCATAGTTTTCTCCTTTAAATGATTCATGCTATTAATATAGTGAATTGTATTTTTAGAACTGTAGTATGAGTTCAATATTTCCAGATTCTGGCTAATGTACTCAAAATCAGGATCTCTCACACTGTACCCAACATTCAAATAAATATTGGTATCTTTACCAAACATACAATTTGGGTAAAAGTGTAACAAGTTATAAGCATAGGACTCTCAAAATAAATTCAATAAATCAGTTCCAAGCACAGATAATTGTTCTTATGGCACATGGCCAAGATGGGAACAAGCCCTGTAAATATAGATGTTACTATGCCATGATGTAGACTAATTTTCACAAAGCAACTTACTGTACATTCTGGGTTAGAGCGTTTATCAAAATGAAGACTGTAAGACTGTAATAGTTTTCACATTAAATTTTGGTTGCACAAATGATTTTGAGGCTGAAAACAATTGACTGAAAACCCTTGTTCCACTTTATAAGAGACTAGTTAAGATGGGACTATAATTATCAAGGCTTTCCTTTTCCCATTTAAAACTATGTATTCTCTTTTTTAAAATCTTATAATCCATATGTGTTCTCATGTGTTCATTTCCTAAATTTAAGACTTTTGCCAGGGAATAACTGGTGGTATGGGGTGAGGGGCAAATGCAAGACTTTTGTGAGAACGTTAAGTGTTAAGGAAATAATTTCTCAGTATTAGAATCAGAACTCTATGACAAGGGTGAATGCAAATGTCACATGAATTTCCAATATATTTCATTATCACTTTGGATCTAACAAACACCTGTACCTAACCTAATAACACATGTCTGCTTTTCTAAATCTACACCATAATCACTATCAATACAAACTACTCAATACCAGTATAGCAATCTCCAACTATGAATACTGATTTATCATACTACTTAGGGCACAGGCAGCAGAGATTTGGTATCGCTGAATACTTCAACATTTTTCCTGTTCTAACGTTAAATCTCTTAATTATGAATGGCATACACTCTTTCACTACAAAGGAATTTTATGGGAAAAAAAGGCTACTTTTAAGCAGAAAATTAAGTTTTCCCACCTATTAGGCTTCTGACAATTTCCTAAGTGCCCCTATTTTGATATGAGTAACTGAGGAATGAGATGTTCCATTTTATAGATTTAATAAGTTTCATCTTCTTTTTAAAAATCAGTTTAACTTTTCTGGTAAAGTTACAACCTAGTTTATGTTCTTCCTTAGTGGCTTTGTTCCGACTTCAGGTTTTTGAACATGAAGTTTCACATTTGTACCATTCCAGGTGTGACTAAAACCGAACACAGAATACCTGAATATGTCAAATGCAAACTACTGCCATGATTACAGTAGTTCTATAAAAAGGCTACCTAGTTCTGAAAAGGTGTAGAGAAATCCCTTCAACCACAGCATAAGACCGCTGTTTGCTCTAAGCATAGTACTCATTCTGATAATTAATTGTAGCCAACATTTGTACTCTTCTGTGAGCCTTCCAAAGATTTCACCTGTGTTCTCACTGGATGGCATGATGGAGGTATTAATAGCTAAAGGTTGTCTTCTCTTTAGAAACTGGCAAACTTGCCAGGCTTGCTATTTTGGAGTCTCAGACTCCAAAGGAACTGACAGACAGTGAGGAAGTGAGGGAAGACATTCACTGCTCACCACGTCATCTGCAAGTGTCAACTCCACCAAGGGACAGTTATTCAGGAGCAAGTTTAGAGGACAACTTCTAGGCCAACAAAAAAATACTATCTTTATCTAGTTACTTCCTAAACTCACTGGCGTCCTAAAAGTAAACACAAACCAAGACACTTTTGTTAATAAAAGTACAAATAAATCAGCAAAGTGATGTATATATTTTTCCCAAAACAACATGAGACCAGTTGTGGTCAGAATCATGGCATTAAACAATCTAAAAATATGAACCAAACGAACAACTATTTTGTAGAAATTCACTATTTATCCTCCTTACCCCAAAAATGATTTTCACAAAGCCAACAGGATGTATCCTTTACTGATAATTTTATAAAATATCTCACTACGTGAATACCAGCATATACATACACGCTTGTGCCTGTGAACTTGTGCTGAAACCAAAGAAGTGTGGTGTCCGTTACATCCCTTTCACTGGGACAATCTCTAGGACTAAGCCATCAAGGGAACAGAAATATTGTTAACACTGTTAGACCATAGAAAATGCATCAGCTCAGCAAATCTTGGGCCCCAATAACAGCCTTTGTTTAAATTTAACTAAATTGTGTAAACGGGCTGGCAATATTACCATTCATTCTTAATAAAACCAGCAAGAAGATCAAATGACTAGGAACTAAAACAGCATTGGAGGCAGAGTCATAAAAGATGTATGATGAAAGAGGGAACACAGCATCAATTTCAACAGATCATCCTCAATAACCTTTCTCAGGTGCCAATGGAAGGACTTCTATGTTCCCCTGAAAACACGGCTGCTACACCGAATTTGGTGCTCTGTTCCTACACTCACAGACTGACGTTCCCTTAAATGGACAAAGGAACAAGTATCTGAGTTAAATCCTTTCTTTGAGGTGACACAGCAACACAAATATCCACCAGAGAGAGAAGGAGCACATTTCTCTGAGAACCCAAATCTACAGACAGCAAAGACAGCTGTTAAAGGCCAACCTACCGGTGCTTTTTGATGCCATTGGAGAGAGCATCTCCTCCACCACAATCCTTCCCTTCGGACATTCTGTGTTTTCTACTGCTCACGTGCTCTTCTTCCTCTTCAAAGGACTCTGCTGTCACTGCTTCCAGTCGACTCAGGGACTTCTCTGACTCGGAATCTGTGGGAAAGCAGGTTCATCATGGTGAACTGAACGTGGTGCGATGTTCCAGTAACAACGGCATCAGGCTTTGAAACTCAAGCAGCCTACTTTGTCCTGCAACAATCCATCCGTTAAATACCTCCTTGGGGATTTGAGAAAACCTGCACCCAAGGAGGCTCAAGTGGATTTATGAAACAGATGTATGCTTACATAAACCTACACGTAAACCAATCTTATATACTGAAAGAGATTTCCAAAGATTACCCAATTTTTAAGAAATCATATTTAGTAGTTCTGTGTAGTTCTTCCCTCTCAAAGCATCTTAAGCATAGAGGGAAACAATCAAATTTTAAAACTCATTCATAAGGAAAATCTGCAGGAGTTATACTTGTGAGAAGTTTAAATCATATCAAATACCACAGACACAAAAATGAACTTTACAATACATTTTAAAATAATTTTCCAGGTTTTTTGTTTTTTGTTTTGTTTTGGTGCCAGGGATCGAACTTGGGCCCTTGCACTTACAAGGCAGTGGTGGAACCACTGAGCCAAATCCCCAGCCCTTCAGTGTATTACTTAAACCCTGAAAGAATTAAAGCTCAAAGTGTCCGTATATTAATTATCAGGAAAGTATTCTCAGGATGGAAATGCCATGTTCCCAGCTGGCTAAGTACTCAGATTGGAGCCATCTGCCTGTTTGGGAGTTATGAGATGACTAATTTTGTACACTCCACAATAGTTTTCAGGCACTTTCACATTTTTTTCTTTGAGCATCTCAGGATGCTTTGGTGACTGTGAGGCAGGACAATGGAGTTACCAACAAGTGCATTAATGTAAGTGGGAAAGGCAGGATGTGAGCCACATTCTGACTCCTTGTTTAACACTACCTTGCAGCTCAAAACAGCAGTCACTATCTCCACACAACTCTAAATGACACCTCCATCTTTACTAAAACTGGAAATTCAAGAAAACCTGTAGCCTAACCACACATCTATCCTCAGCTCTGTAAAAGACTCTGACACACATTCAAGCAAACTTCTTTAAGCACATTCATGCACAATCCCACAGCATGTATCATGGCTGAACTTTCCAGAAACAAAATAATCTCCCCTACTGCTGCCCACACTGTGGAGCCTTCCTGTTGCCACATGTGACTCACTGGGAAGAACTACTGCAGGGCCACAGCAGTGGCCACAGAGCTGCAGAACAGCACACCTCGGACACACAACACTGGGTCCTTTAAATGATGCAAGCTACTTGCAGACAGACTTTCAGTGTTGAGAAAGCTTTCATTGTTTTCTGTAAATACAAATTTAATGGAATTTCTAAAATCATAGTTTTGGGGGCTGGGGATTTAGCTCAGCGGTTCGGTGGCCTGCCTTGCAAGCGCAAGGACCCAAGTTCGATCCCCGGTACCAAAAAAAACAAAACAACAAAAAATAAAATAAAATCATAGTTTTGGGGGCTGGGGATTTAGCTCAGCGGTTCGGTGGCCTGCCTTGCAAGCGCAAGGACCCAAGTTCGATCCCCGGTACCAAAAAAAACAAAACAACAAAAAATAAAATAAAATCATAGTTTTGTTCGGTCACATGCCTCAAAATAAAGCAACATATAGTGGTATCTCTATCTAGGACTTTGTTTTCTTGAGATCACAGTCCAAAAACATGAAATAATAATTTCAGAAATAAACAATGCATAAGCTTTAACTTGTGTGCATTCTGAATAGCATGAAGAGATTTTGTCCCATCCACTCTTTGCTGCTAGACACTGGGCACATGAGGCAGAGGGTTGTTAAGCAGGGCAGCCAGGAGAGGCGGTGAGACCATAAGTGGTAAAACATGAAAATGGTGCTCAGCAGAGGAGGGAAGCTTCTCCGAGGAGCCACAAGGGCAAAACCCGAATTGTGGATTACAGTGGTCTTGTGTGTGTGTGGGGGGGTCATATATACATTTTTAAATGTTTTACATGAAAAAAATTTAGAACTTAGAACCAGAACAATTTTGTATTGGTTAGCATTATCTAAGATGCATCCTTAGTTTATAATTTAGATGTCAAAAGAATCAAAAAGTAATTTTTAAAAACCTCAAGCATTTACAAACATTTCTATGCACAGGATGTTATGGTTACACTTTAAGAGATACAAATCATAAGGCAAGGACTTGCCCACCTAAAGGAGGTTTTGTTTGTTTTTATACAAAAAGCAGATGCACAGTAAATGAACAGGAGGCCCTAAGAGCTGCTACGAAGAGATACTTTTCCCAAAACAATTTTAGTGTAGTGAATACACACCACCACTTTTCCCCGTGCCAGCCACTTCAGGAAAAGGCCGTGGGGGCTACTTGCTCACCCCAGGGAACCACACTGGGCAGCACTGCAGATCCTCTGAGGCAAGCGGCACAGGGCCCTTCCCTGCGTGTCCTCTCATCCATCTCTTTCCTACTTCTCCCTACAGCCTACTCCTCCCTACTTACTCCCAAACCCCCATTCTCCAGTATAATCAGAGTATCCCCACCCATCCCTGCTGGGCCCAGACAAAGGTCACTAATTGCCTCTATACTGTAAAGGCCAATGTCCATTTTAAATTCTAATTTTGACTCACTCACTGTATCTGACATAACTTAATCAGCCTACTCCCCCTTTACTGTATTATGTGCAAGGCCTGCGGGATTGGAAGGGTTGAAAGGAGGCAGACTGCTTGGGGTTTTCTAGGTGCGATGACACAAGTCTGACTGGGGACAGGGGCCACAAGGGAGGCTCCGTTCTACAGAGGTAGTCTGTCAGGAAAGAGCTATGGCTGCTGCGTAAGTTGGCAAAGAGTAAGAGTGGGCAGGAAGGCAGGTGCAACACAGGGGCTATCCAGGCAGAAGGAGCAACATGGCCCAGTGCACGGAGAAGCGAAGTACTCAGGTGAAAGAGGAAGCTGAAGTGGGAATGAGGCTTTCAGTCACGATACTGACTACACAAGGCAAAAATCAGAGACAGGCACCGGGATAAAGCGAATATAAAATAAAACTAGGAATGAGCTAGTAAAGTATGCCATTAGGTTCTGTATTTACTAGAGGGAAATCAAACTCTGTACTTTGTAGCACCAAAAGCAAAGAAGGAAACACTATCAACTACAACCTTTATAATAGTGTGAGATCAAAATAGCTGCTATAAAAGCAGTTATTCCTAGTACTATGAACAGAGAGATGGCTGACGTATGTAGTATGAAATGGCATTGACTTACTAGGTTGATAAGAGGGAACCATTCTTAACTGATCATACCTTCTTAGCATAGTCACATCAATCTGCCTATTTCCAGTGTGGCTTCGTTTCATACGAGACCCACAATTCTGGGATATCTGAATTCAAACATGTTTAGCTAAGTACAGTACCAAGGAGGCCATAGCCCCTATGACAATTTACTGATAGACAAAGCCCATTACCCACAGAAATAATTTTCAAGTCTTCTCATTAAGTAAATCAGTAATAGATTTCAGTGCCTTTGAGATAATTCAATCTTAAAACTGCAGGTTCTTCAATTTTGCTCACACATTTAAGTATGAAACAGGTGTGGCATTATCTGTTAGCCAGTATTACTGGGCAACATATCAGTGCCTGAGAAGAATAAAGTTAAAAGAATATGTTTCATGCCTCCTGTATGCTGGTTACTGTGTGCTCTTACAGTGGTCTAAGTTACAACGCTCATGCTTCAAAAACAAACAAAAGGGGAGGGAACAATAGGGTGTAAGTGTTTAAAGGTATGGAGTTTCAGTCTGGGATGATGAGACAGTTCTGGTGCTGGATGGCGTTATGGTTTGGATCTTAAATATTCCCTCAAAACTCACGTACTAAAGGCTTAGTCCCCAGTGTGGCACTATGGAGAGGTCGAAATGTAAGCAGTGGCACTAATGGGAGGTCTTCCAAGGGTACTGTGTGGCCCAGCCCCTTCATCTCATTTCCTGGATGTGAACTGAATGGCTTTGCTCCACTGCCTGCTCCCACCTGGACGAGCAGCCTCACCATGGGTGTAAAGGCAACTGAGCCAACCCATCACAGACTAAGATTTCCTCTAGCTCACGGTTTAGAAGCTTTTCTTCTTTATAAGGTGTTTGGGTGTTTGTTACAGCTATGGAAAGCTGAAAAACACAGTCGGTGACGATGACTACACAATGCAATGTACTTAATCCTCCTGGACTGCACTTTAAAATGGATAAAAAGGTAATTTTTTGTTGAATATATTTAACTACAGCTAGCCCCCCGCCAAAAAAAAAAACAACTTCCAAATGAGCAAACAAAAGCCCGTCAGTCCAAAGCCAAAGATCTATTAGGGTGAATGAACTATATTCTAGTCCTACTGTGTCTCACTTCAACATCGATTATAAAAGATGACTGTAAAGGAGCAAAACTGCTTTTTCTGCAGACTATTTTTAAATGCAGCAATAGAAATTTATCCTCACAATATGAGTTAGATTCAGATCTTAGCTTTTCAGACCTTATCTCCTACTGCATTTTTTTCTCATGAACATATTTTCCATAACAAGCAAAGCCACTAGTGAATTTCAGGATTGCTTCATTGACTCCTGAAAAATAAGGTAAAAATTTATGACACAGTTCTACATTATTTATTGAAGTTTTGATGGGCAATTAGGAAAATCCCTATAGCCCTAGTGATGGGAAATGAAGACTTGGTATGCACTTATTTGTGAGTTTATGCTCATCTAGTTCAAAGAGGATTCCAGTGACTTGTGATCATTTCTGTACACTCTGAATAACATTTTATATTTTACAAGATTTACATTGTCATTTACAGTGAAGTATTTCAGATAGAAAGAATCTCTGCCTGATTAACTTCTCAATTAAAACAGCAGTATTAACAGAATAGACAACAAAAACCCTAGGTGGTTTTAATATGACAAGTCTTCAATAGCCCAGATTTTTAAAACTCTGGTCATATTAAAAACAGAGAATTATTTTTACCACATTGCAGACTAAACGTGATCTTATTTCTCATCAAAATGACATGGAAACCAATG